TATCTTCCCATCTACTATTAACTCAAGTAGTCTCTTAGCTTCAAGTTATCCTATAAAAAAACTTATACGTACTTCGCTTCTGACTCATGCGTGCTATATACCCATCCCCGTCTAATCCTGCTTAATTTGGCCATTCTAATAATATGTGACGAGAAGTGTAAATTATGAAGTTCCTCACTATGCAGTGTTTTCCAGTCTTCTGTTACTTCCCCCTTTTCAGGTCCAAATAATCTCTTCTCGAACACTCTCAGTTGTAGCAAGGCAAAGTTACCCTGTGCCTAATTAATTAATCATCAGGCCATGAAAACTTACGGGGAAAGGAAGTATAGCTTCATCATTCTTGCCCTAAGCACTAGATGGAGGTGAGTGGTCAGCTTCACGCGCCGGCCGGTATCCCCCGGGGGAAATAACCCGCAGTTCTAAGTGGATAGGAGGCTGGGTGGGTCCCTTAATGTCAAAGACTAAGTTTTCTATTCATATATATATATATATATATATATATATATATATATTTGAAATGCGCCCGAATGTGGTACGAAAAAAGCTGTCTCAAATCGCACTAGAACCGCCTGTTGCAAACGACTCACAACCTAATCCTAATTTGGTGGTAGTCGACTTGTACAGCTGCTGCACTGAATCCCTTGTACTGCACGCATGCGCACAAACATACAAATACACAAAAGCAAGCGGGCAGGAGAATGAATGTCTTGCATATAGAATTAATCCCACAGACCCTCCTCATGATGATGGCCCGGGTCAAGCGTTTAGTTCAGTTATTTGGAGCGGAAAGCCCTCTAATACCTACCGCAGAGGAGCCCTGGTCGGCCACTACTTTCGCTAGGATTTCAGTTCTAGGAGGGCAGCCCCTTGGCAAGAGATCTCCGGCAAAGACCAACTGTACGCAGACATAGCGATCAGTCTGTGCCCCCAGGAAATGCTAGTGTTTAATTGACAGAGCCAGCAACAATGCACACAGTTCCACTACCAATTCGGGGAAAATTGGCAGAGGCGGTAATGCTTCCGACTCGTATTTAGGAGGTGCTCGGTTCGAATCTGGGCCGGGACATCGACTATCCTCTGGTTTTCCTCAGTCCCACCAGATAAACAGCGAGAAAGCTCCTTGAATGTGCTAAGATCGTACTTCCACATTCTCTGCAGTTCATCAGCGATCACTAATCCTGACATCTGACGGCATGCAGTCTGTGCTTATGACAGGGCCGTAGAACAGCATGGAACAAAAAGTTCTCTGAGAACCAACTACCTACCATGCTTTCACTGTATTTTTAGTAGCTGATACAAGTATGAAGAACACTTTAGTGTGCATCGGTAATGAAACACAATATGAGAGGCCGCAGTGTTGCTATTACTGGTGAGAGGGATGTATGATGTACGCAGCTGAGTTCATGTGGTATGATACACATACAAATTTTCATGAAGATTGGAACAGGCGTTCAAGCAATATTAAGATTTCGCCTGATAAATCTGAGAGGCTGTAATGTTGGTATTACTGACGAGAGGGATTTATAATTCGGCCGCTGACATGGTCTCTGATAGCACGATATGCATACCAAGTTTCACACAGATTGGTTCAGGCGTTCAGAAGTTGTTAAGGGGGATACATATACGGACACAAAGGTAACATTATATGCCTACGTTTATTTTTCAAAAGAAGGAAAGTATACTAAATACATAACGGTCGCGAGACAACGCCCGTTGCTAAGACTGCAGATTCTTAATATACGGGGTTAGGCAACCCGTCAACGGCTCAGTAAACACGTTCCAGTGGCAAAAGACACGAACGCAATAATAGAAGAACGGCGTTTTCTATGTGGTCCGTGCCGATGTTATAACCAGGACAGCTCGAGTTCTGCATGGGAGGTTGTGAAGACAGAACCTGATTGCGTGAAGTTGAAGAATTTCAACAGTTAAAAGCCACTGTCAGGGAACGGCTGGTGAAGACAAGCTGGCAAAGGCTTAGCGAGTGCTGTGGTGATTTTTGAATTGTACAGATTAGTGGTGGCGCTGTATTTCTGAGTCGTGTGTATAAGTGGTCAATAAATCCAATCACCAATCCACACCCCGTCTATAGTCACATACCCCTACACGGGACACTATGACGCATCAATCATATCCTTACAGTGGCAACGGTGATACCCTTTATAAATACTTTGCCTACCGATGCATTGCCGTGTAATGCACAACGAAATGAAAGCAAACAGAATCAGTTCAATCGCTGGAATGAAACCGGTCAAGTTACTGGGAGCAGTTTTATAGTACAGTAGAACAAGAGAGGCGACCACGAACATTGTTGGGAATCAACGAGATTCGCCGACTGACTAATGAATCGAGCAGCCGAGGGTGAAAAGCCAAAGACAAATTCAAGTCAGAACTCTTAGATTGTATTGACATTTCACACAGATTTATATTTGTACAAGTATATAATTAGGAATCGGACAGCGACTGGCTACGGGTTGAACGGCCACGAGGTCGCAGTTCGAGTCCCAATAGGGTCAAGAATTCTCTCTTCTCCACGTTGCTTATCCCGGCTATGGGGTCCAACCCAAGCTCCTATCAATGTTTTCCTTTCATTACGATTTCAGTATCTGATACAAGTTGAAATAAACTTTAGTACGTGGTGGCTCAGTTGGCTGACGGGACCATGCTACGAGCCGGAAGGGCGCGGATTCGATTCCCGATTAGATCACTGGATCCTTCAATTGACCTAATCCTTCCAGCCGCACTATGCCCTGATATAGACTCAGCCTCTAACAGAAATGAAATGGGGGTACAGGGCGGAAGGCTTGTGAGGCTGACAGTCTCACCATCTGTGAGCCAACTGTCTAGGGAAAATGTGGGAACCTCGGAGCCTCACATCCCTATGGGCCTCCACGGCCTGATACAGGGATACCTTCACGTTTCATACATGTGTAATAAAGTCAATAAAACAGTACAGTTTGAGAGGCTTCAGTGTTGGTATTATTGATCGGTGGGATTTACGAAGCAGTCCGTTAAGCTGGCTTCAAGTCGCATGATGTATATACCAAATTTCGTGACTACTGGGTTCAAGTATTCAAGTAATTATAAAGTTGTTGACTCTACGATTTGAAAGGCTGCAGTACTGGTTCTGGTGGTACTGATTTATGAATTATGGCGTGGAGATGGCTTCAGGTAGCAGGAAATACATACCGGGTTTCATGAAGATCGGTTTAGGCGTTCAAAAATTGTTAGCGAGGATTGACACACAGCAAGGTGATCTCTTGAGCCTATTTTTATTTCTTCAAAATGGGAAAGTATACTAAAAATACATTACTTATTATGTATAGGTAGGTTTAGAGCAGGCATGCCAAACTCAACTTGTACAGAGGGCCACCTCAGCCCTATAAATAATAGTCCAGGGCCGCACTTCAAAATAGAAATATACATTAGATTTTGATACAAGGAAATTTAATTCTATTTATTATTTAGGAATAATTTCAATATAATTGCCTAAAGTCACATATCTTACAGTTTAAAAAGCAAGAGAATGCCATTTTTGACAAGTATCAAACAGCTTTCCAATATGTATAAAGAGAGATTACACAAGAAATTATGTTAGAAATAGCAAGACATTGAATTTCCTGCAGCCTGCTAATTTATGTCTGTGTGAGACTTCTTGTCTTCTGGTCTGTTGGAAATTTGTCTTTACAAAAAATATTTCTACTAAAATTTTAATACTGATTTTAATATCAATTAGCTCTAGAAGTTGAGGGGCCGCACTCTGTGGCTATGGGGGCCGCATGTTTGACACGGCTGGTTTAGAGTCTATCTCGCTACCAAATATTTACATAGCTAACATATATTTTTCATTAGTTATCGTCATGAAAGCGAAAGCTAAAGACATGCTTCGCATTGGGACCATATTGTTATTTCAAATTCTATCTAATAATTACTGTAACAGAACTGGCTTCCCACCGCGGCGGTCCGGGTTCGATCCAGGGACTGGTGAAGTGGGATTTGTGGTGGACAAAGTGGCGCTGGGGCGGTTTTTCTCCGAGTACTTCGGTTTCCCCTCCCAATCTTCATTCCATCAATTGCTCCACAATCACCCTATCCTATCATCTGGGGCTGGTACAGTAGGCCAGAAGTGGCCGCAGTACAAGGGACTTAGTACCACCCCACTAGCAATAAAAAAATAGCAATACTGTAACAGAAGCTGCATATTTATCTCAGATCCCCATTAGCAAACGACCAAGAGCCAATATTAATATACAAAGTTAATCAAAGTTTAGCAAATCGTGTCCGAATTAATTACTTGCAACAACAAAATTTACACTATACTTTATATATCTATAAAGAGTGTTCAGTCAATATTGTCGCGTGTTGCCTGTGTAACACGAGTAAGTTTATTGGCCAATCTCCTCTACACTTCCAAGTACAAATATCATCCACTTATAATGTCTGCGCACGTTTCTTACAGCACTGCTATAGTTCCTTCTTGCACCGCTAACCTCGGTGAAGTCTCTGTTCCCTCGGAGCTACCTGAAGACTGGCTACTCTAAGGTCAGCTGCAAACTTCAGCTGTTCTCGGCAACTTCTAGAACTCAACTCTCTGGTCAAGTCAAAGTCAAAGTCAAGTCTCTGGTCTCTTCGAAGCTGGACTTTTATACCGTTGTCTCGGACGGCATATAGCGCACTATGTAAGAGCCTTTGGTCTCGGCCGCTGTTATGCAACGAACCTTTTGTTGTCCTTTCATCTCCGGGGAAACGCGTTTGTTGCTTAAGGTATTCCTAGGAAACGGCCCACTGTTATTGCGTTTCCATAGAAGTATACATTCCGAATTCCTGGCGTCACGCGACAATACAATAATCCACAGCCGGTACAACTCAAGACAGTAAAGTCACTGGGAAAAGGTGAATAAACGGACTTAGAATTCAGTCGAGGGAATTTCTTCCCTATTCGATGCTGTGTACAGAACCGACTCTAAGAGACCGACCCGATGTAATGAACGCATGACACTTACCCTGCTAGCCTGGAGTCCCCTTGCATTCGATCGTGTATGTCTCGGGGAGCTCCCCGAGTGCTTCTCCTTGCGGTGTCCAGTCTTCAGACCTCTCAGGAACCGCGAGAATGTTGTCCTCTTCTTGTTCGTCTGCTGGCCTCCACTTTGCTCTGAAACAACAAAAATATTCCTCGATCAACATTTGTTGGTTGTATAATCTAAAGAGAACATTAAAAAGACTCCGTAATTTTAGTCCGCAAGCGAACTATACCGACCGAGCGACTGCCGCTTGTTACACGGATAAGTTTAGACACTTCCTTCAGACCAGAGAACTTATATCTTTTAAGTGCACATGTTAGAATAATGGCGGATACGTGTGGTGAAGCGGGGTTAGCTATGTCGGTAGAGGGACGGGGTACAGGCTGGACGTCTGGGGTCACCCAGTTTCCTCTTCAAACGGTAAAGGGAACTCTTACTCCGGGGGTACAACAGCAGGCCACTCACCTCCATCTAGTGCCGAAGTAATGAATGGTGGACCTGTACTTCCACTCCCCCATACGTCTTCTACAGGGACACCTTTGCCTTTAGGTGTGGTGCGTCACTGCTTATTGATTATCAGACTCGTTATAAATGGTACACGGAACCAGTTCCCTCGCCGGCCTATGGTCTCTTCAGAAACTTCGCCGTTACAGAGTTCGGACTCAAGTTGACTTGGGGGTGTTGAATTATGCATGTGCCGTGCGGACGCTTCTACGGAGCAGAAAACCGGTCATCATAAGCTGAGCTGCCCAATCTCATCACCGTCCGTCATCTTTACGAACCGGGCTACGTCATACCTTCCTGCGTAAGCCGTCACTTTCTAACGACGTCTATGTCACCGACACAACTAGCTACATGTGAGTATTACTTTTGTTTTAAACAAACTCAGAATAAACTAATTGATTAACCAAACAACCAACACCATGGAGCTGAGGAACCCTTCTTGGGAAACCTCCACTCGCTCAGATTCTCATACAAAACAAACTCCGTGGCCTGTAGTCCGCAAGCGAACTATACCGACCGACCGCCGCTTGTCGGTGAAGTTAGTGCCAACTCGTATCATATTAGAATAAAATGTGTATAAACCGAAACTAGAATATGTTTACCAGAATATTTCTGCACTTCACAGTAACTAAATAATTAACCAACCCCATAGCGCTGAGGAGTCCTTCTTGAAAAGCTGCCAGTTGTGCAGCTGCGCAAGAATTTCGCAGTATTTTACGAAACCTGCAGTTTCATTACCGCGTTCACAAGAGCCCTCCACTGGTCATGCCAGATATAAAGGTGACCACTGATCTTTAATATTATATGAGTACTTGTATTACAAATTTCAACTGGGCATTTTTCAAGTTTTCTTTTCCATGGGGGTCCAGACTCTTTAAGTGTGTTCCATGTCACAAAGTTCTGAGAACCGATGGACTAGATAACGTTGTATTTTATGGTTAATACAGCTGAACACTATATTGAATTAAGTTAACTTGTGGAACACAACTCTCCAACGTAAACAAACTACACAAATGGAGTAGCCTGGATGGAATTTTTGGCACTACATAAGTAACAGGAAGAGGACATAAGAATCTGGGCTTGAAAACTCACGGCTCTTTATACAAATAGTTTCCTGAAGTCAGTACCAAGAAAATCGGAGAAACATATATTAGAATCAGTTGCAACAGATCGAGAGGATAGTGAAGAACAGAAAGGTGCAGGATTACACAACTTTCTTCTGAAAAGCCTAAAGGGCAGGAACTACTCATGTGACATAAGCTTAGATGGAAGTATAATATTAAAATGGATCTTAACGAAATGGAACGAATGTAACTGGCTCATGATAGGGTCCAATTCCGGACTTTTGTGAATGTTGTAATGAATCTTCGTGTTTCTTAAAGAATTAGGTTTCTTGACGAGCTATACAACTATAAAAATCTCAAGGAGGACATGCAGTACTGATTATGGTGAGTACTAAACAAGACAGAAGGAGTTAAGTTTAAATCAGGAGACACAATTTTTAAAAAGAGAAAATTACGGCTGACTGAGCAGCATAGTGTACAATATATGACAGCGAACCAATGGAAGGGAGGGAGGGAAGGAAGGAGAAGAGTAACCAAGTCCAGACCGACTCTAGAGTCAAGCTAGCTTTACACCCAATCGGGAGATCAATCCTTGGGGGGACGGGGTTAAAACAGTTGAAGCCTGAAACTGAACACACACTAATGTTTAGTGTCGGGTCTATTAACTCCCATGGGTCTTCAAGGAGTGGTGCTTAAGCAAAAGAAAAGTTACCTTTCACCTCTTCTACAGGATGCAACATTTAAATTGCCACACAAATAACAATCACGTACTGGGGTACCGAAATGATTCATTCATTCACCAGTGACTCTACAGCCCTTTGTTGGGCCCTAGCCTCATCTTCATTTTAGTACTTTTTTTTCTTTTACACAGTATGTAGTACTCCTTGGATGAGTCATCAGCCCGTCGCAAGGCCGCTCTGGGGACCCGCCCATGGAGCGGGATGGATGAGTGTGACTGTTTCCTGGAAGATAAAGCGGCAGGGACGTGAAGCTACCCACTCATCTCTTTCCAGTGCCATGGTCAAGAATTGCGGACGTATACCTTCACTCCCCCATACGTCTTAATGGCGTGGAGCTTCATTAAGCACAGGGAGAATTTTGCCACTACCTTTAACATGTCCGGCGTGGAAGAGTTATGACGAGTGGTACCTTACCGCAACGTCGAAGAAACCCTAGCCCGATAATTTGTTTCGTTATAGTGACGTCACTTGTAAGCTTACATATAAGACTGTGGTATGTACTGCGTTTGAAGTGGCATATTTTTGGCACAACTTCAGTCCTATACAGGTACTTCAAAACAAAGCACCGAATTGCCAGGAAGTATGCGCCGCATAACGGCAATGGCCAAATCCAACACATTATTGAGACTGCAATTTTCTGGACTGTGATATCAAGTAGTTTTATAAAAGTCGACCTTTCGGAATAACATGATACCTCTGGGCCGCGCTATAGCTCAAGCGGTTAGTCGCTGGCTACCCACCGCAGCGGCCTGCGTTCGATCCCGGGTCTGCTGAAGTGGGATTTGTCGTGGACAAAGTGGCGCTGGGGCAAGTTTGCTCCGAGTACTTCGGTTTCCCCTGCCAATCTTCATTTCACCAATTGCTCTACAATCACCCTCACCTATCATCTGGGGCTGGTACAATAGGCCAGAAGTGGCCGCAGTACAAGGGACCTAGTCGCACCCCACTAGCAATTGATAGGCAACGTTTCAGTTAACACGCCTGGTCAACAATATAGGATATCCACTTCTGTGAAATGGATGTTTTCTGGGTGGTCCGTGCAGAAGGGTTATAGGGGACATGGAAGGTTGTTTGCAGTCAGTCGTAGAACAAGAAGCAGAATAGAGAGAGACCTCTGGCGTCAAGGAAAAATGGTTCGATTGTAGATTGATTGCAATTAAAAGCGATTGTACAAGAAGGTGTTAATAAATCCAATCATCTAATCCAGAACCCGTTATTATTAGTCACGGAACCCCGGACACGTGGCAGTATGTAGGGTAATGAAATGGCTTTGTTACATGAGCTGATTGCAAGGAAGAAGGTCACTCAGACCTGTGAGGGGGGGGGGGAATGGAGCCCGATCAAAGCCAGCACCTCATGAAGAAGGAAGCAGAATGTTCCTACGAAACGTCGGTATCAGCCTACAAATTACACAGTGTCATTATCCAGAAGACCACAATCTGAACAACCAGGGCAGTAACAACTCCAGATCAGCACGCCAATCGTGTAGGTTCATATTTTCCGGCTTGTCCGTTAATTTAACTTTAGTTCCCTCTTCTAAGTCCCTAGGGACGAGGCAGTCTACGAACACAATTCAAAGTTACCGTACCAACGGGAGAAACACGCGTCTCTGTATTATAGAGACTAGGCTGGGCTGGGCCAGGCCCTTGGTGGGTTGCTACGAGAGAGATGTGCGGCATGTGTTTGTAGTGGTTTAGGGCTCAGAAAACAAGCTCTGAAAACAGAGATGAGGATGGGCATTACAACAACAATAATAAAATCCAAAGAGCTCTCTAGGAAATAAGCGATTTTGAAGAGTAGATATTGACGTAATGCATCGATCTAGTAGACTGGTTTCTCTCTGAAGGCCGAGTTTGGTTAAAATTTTAGTTGGAGTTGTCTGTGTATGGGTTTATGTGACGAAGCATAAGACAAGGGATATCACTGGAGTCTGAAGCGGACTGCATAAATCTATACAGCAGTGACACTCAGCATCATTGATCTACTGTTCACAAGAGCCCTCCACTGGTCCCTATCCTGAGCCAGACCAATCCAATCCATACCGTCCCATTCTAATACTGTCCACCCACCTACGCCTTGGTCTTCCCAGTGGTCTCCTTCCTTCCGGCTTTCCCACCAATATCCTATATGCATTACTCCTCTCCCCCGTTCGTGCTACATGCCCTTCTCACCTCATCCTCCTTGACTTGATCCCTCTAATTATACTTCGAGAAGCGTACAAGTTACGAAGCTCGTCATTATGCACCACGACCGCCTCCTTCCAAATCCTTTACAATTAATTATGTATTAAATAATTGTACCATTTGGCGCTATATAGTTTCTGATACCTACGTCTTTAAATAAACCACAAAGCTGTCCCTTTGCCTAATTAATTAATCAGTTCTCCACGAAGATGAGTGAGGTGGTGAAAGTATAGCTACATTGATTTTGAGTTTAACATTAGATAGGAGGCTGGGTGGGCCCCAGAGCGGGCCTGGACGTAAAAATCTTTTGCTAGCAAAGAATCGAACCCTGGGTATCCAGTCCGTAATCCTTCGCTATATCGACTGAGCTATAAATAAAGAAATCCGTTCTAACCTAAAATTGTGGGCATACAAGTCATTGGTCAGCTGGAATTCTTCACGGTGTACTCACTACGGAAGTTAATAGCCGCGACAAGTAATTAATGAAGAACTTGCTCCGGAAACTCAGCCCTCTCCATCCGTGTGACTTCCTGTCCGAGTTTGCTTCGCGGTGTACCAGCAGGCCCTGGGAAACTTCCTCGCCGTCTACTTGTGCCTCCATCCCAAAAGGTTTGTCCTGTACCTCAAACATTCAAAATCC